ACATATGGGTCCACACATTTTACAGACAGATTCTGGAGAAAGGTCTGCCTATGAGAAAAAGGACAATAAAAGCCTAGACTGCTGTGCTGTAACCTGGCCCTGTGGTGCTTCCCACAGCAAGAAATATTTAGATTTGAGTGGATTCATGTATTATCTTAATAATTAAAAACAGGAGAATCTAACGACAGTTTTATTCTTGTACAACCAGGAAATCCACAGTTTCACGAACTTGGGGATCTAGTTCCAGGATTATACACCACTTCTTCCATATTAGTGACTTCTAACACACCAGAACTGTTCCAGAAACACAGATAAAGGTTGCTGCTCCCATGGAGGTGTGTACTACCCAGAAGACACAAACATACATCATAAGAAGTCACAGGTGGGAGGGAATAAGAGGACAGTAAATGCTCAGCAAACAAGCAGAGTCTGAGAAGAATTGGGAGCTGAGCAAGACTGGTTGCTGTTGAGGGAGGAAGCACTAGCAATGCCAGGGAAGGGCAATGACTCCTAGGTAGGAGCTCACTCAACATGCTGGAAAGTAGCAGACAAAGCTTGTGTACCCAATGCTTCCTGTGAACCTGGGAAAACTTGGAATATCTATGTAGGTAAAAGTCTCACTCAGGAGCACTATGGAGAGCTTCCTCCTGGAGTCACTGTAGCTGTTGTGTCGCTTGGAAAGGAATCAGGGTTAGGACTGTGCAATTGAGCTATACTTTCCTACAGTGATAAGACAGGAAAGGATAGTAGTATGCAAAGGGAATGGAGAGGTAACAGATTCTGAGAAAGAAGATGGTGGTTACTGAACAGAAAGAAAAGGGGCTGTGGAAGACTGTCACGTATTTTTTTTTTTAGGAGGCAACAGAAGTGTCCACTGGAACAGGAAGATGGGAACAGGAAGATTGGGACAGATGGCTGGAGAAGAGGAAGGACTCCATTATGAACAGGCTGAATTTGAAAAGTTGTATCTGACCCTGCAAGAAGATGGTACACAGGCTGGTGGGTCTTCTGAATATTTAGGGTGTGAAAGGTTAGACTAGAATGGGACTTATTAGCATCACTGTAATTCTGAATTCACAAGTTTGAGATGAGTAAGCAAAGAGTAGGCCACACAGAGAAAAGAGCAAGAAAAAAAGCAGGAATCAGCCTAGGCAGTCCTCTAATGGTACAGATTGTGGCTGCTCCTATCAGGAACATGACCTAGCTCACTGACCCAATGAGTCACTCTACATCAGTGATGGAAAACCTTTTAGAGCTTTCAATGATACAAACAGCCTGCTGCACATGTGTGCCACAGCTTTGTCAGCACTACCCTAAATCCTGTGACACACTGAGAATCTTCAGGTTGCAGGACAGCACTGCTCTGCACAGGACTACAGACTTGCCATTACCACTAATCCTTCAAGAAGGTTCTCGGGGCAACCTTCTGATCCTGACATAGTAAGAATTGTATAGATAATGGTACAGTTATTAATAATATTAACACTTATTGAGGAACTGAGCTAAGAAATGCCCGTAAGTGTGGTATTTAAGATCAGTGTGTAATACTCAAAATACTCATTTTCTGAAATAAAAACTCAGACCTCTTTCTGTAAAATAAGAATCTCACTGTGACTTCTATTCTTAAAGACTATTGTTCCTATACACATCTTTATGGAATAAAAAATTCTGAGACAAAAGTCAGTGTACTTCACAGTGCCTTGGATCACAGTGCTTGCCAGAGAGTAGATTCTAATACATATTAATTAAGCAAGTATCTTATACTAGAAGTGATTCTGATCAGTGTTTTCTGCTTGTATCTTTTGATATTGTCATATACAAAATGGGGAGCAAAATGAACAGTTTTCTTTACTTTTCTTCCATATTAAAGAAATGTGGAGCTCAGGATATATGTCTTCTGATCGCCAAGTAGGAATGTGTTTATAAGAAGGGCTTCTCTCTGGATGGCACTGCTCTAGTACTATTTAAATTGGAACTATTACCTGGTGAAAAGACCATTAAAGCAAACTGGATTCTGAGATATTTTTGAAATACTGTCTGATACTGGCTTTGTATCACTGGGAAGCTGACCCTGACTGACTTATATTAGGCCACAATTGTCCAGTAGGTGACACAGACAATGTACCTAAGGATAAAGCATACTAAACGAGTAACCAAAATTTTTCTCAAAGTTGATAATATATTCAATTCATAAGAGAGTGTGACCTCATTTTTTTTTAATCAGGGTATAAATTAGAATGGCTGATATGTCATACAAAACTCAAATACAATATTAATACTGGAAGCACAGAACATATGTTCACATTAGAAAGCTTATTTTATCAATAGACAATGACATCTAAGTTATAGCTTTAAAACTGGCAATAATGTTAATACCATTTCATCTGGTTTACAATCATTGCATATTTAAGTTCTATTTCTAATATAAAAGAAACAGGTTACTTATGGCAAGTTATTTCATTTGCTTATGTACTTATGACTACATAAGAATACACAGAATTAAATTATGACCAAAACTGAGAAAAGGTCAAAACCATAAACAAACAGTAACACTTAAAATTAACAGAGAAAAGTAAAGAGTAACTAAATCTAGTAACATTCAAGGCATGCTTATAGATAGTGACAGGGCTAGTCTCCTGATCTAGGAGACCCTAGGAGAACTGATCTACTGGGAACATAAAACAGCCACCACCAAAAGAGAAAAGAAAATCAAGACAGGAAAAGTACCAAAGGGAAAGAAACAAGAACATACCAAATCTAGAACAGAGATTGCTGGCATAGCAGTCTGCTGCAGGTAATAGAGAAGGAAAAAAAAAAAAAAAAAAAAAAAGAAAGAAAGAAAGAAAGATGAAGCGTGAAAAAAAAAGTTAGGTTTAGACCTGTATTCTGCCATCAGCATACTCTGTTGCTATCTTGTTTTTGGACCACTCTCTGAAAAACCTAAAGAACTACTATTAACGTCTACTATTCAGAAATATAAAAATGTTTACATGGTATTAAATACTTAGATTTCATCCTTAAGATTCACAGAAACTAAAAAGCTAAGTTTAGATAAGATTAATCTCTTCAGGCTCAGGTATTAACCTTAACATACTTTATGAAAAAAATTATCTTAACATAATCCATACTAAAAGGCTTTGAAATCTTGTGTTTTAATTATTTAGAAAAACAGGCCTTCAATATAAACTTCACCTTGTAGGTATAATTATAGAAATACCTATAACACCATTGCTAATTTCTTCCTATTACTAGAATAGAGCTACAATAGTAAGAACTGCTGATATTATTCACTCATTTGCTAATAAAGCTATTTCATATTTAGAGTCTGATCTGCAGTAAACATAAGGCCGTATGTTAGTTGTGTCTAGAGTATGGTAATACAGGGTCATAAATATATTTTGCTATAGAAAGAATCTAGGTCACTATGTATTGGTGACTCTGGCCACAGCAGAATGCATCAGCACCAGCAGGGTAGGATGATCACAAGTATAACTGTCACAGAGTTCTGGTCATGTAGTAAATGAAAACTGTCCAAGGAATCCTTATATTAACATTCCCTGTTTATCAAATAGTTACTCTTTAAAAAAAAAAAAAAAAAGAGAGAAGTAAAACCCTAAAAAACAAAAAACTCATTCAACCCCTAAAAAAACAAATAAAATAATGCAAAACCAAAATCAAAACACTTCTGTTAAATATAGTCCTTATTAAATAACTCTATTACCAATGACTTATTAATAAAGCAATGTAATAGTTAAAAATACAAATTAGATTTCGCTTTAAAAAACTAATTATCTAAGAGGATACTGAGCTGAATTTTGGGTAAAATCATGAACATAGATTTGGTACAAATACTTATATATTAATAAGTAGGTGTCAGAGAACTTTTCAGGAAAGATTCACAGAGCAAACTTTGAAAAGGGATCCTACTACTGGGCTCTGTGTACTCACTAATAATCACCTAAAACTGAATGTCATCATGAGGAATGTCATCATGAATGTCATAAAATATCTGACCTAATAGCTATTGTTTTAGTTAAAACACAGTATTAAAAAGGAGCTTAAATTAGAAACAAAATTTAAGTAACAAAAAAGAACATACACTTGGTTATCTTTTCTTGGAATACTGCATTGTATGGATTAAGGAAAGAAATGTAATCAAAATGTATTAACATGATAGTCAATAACCTCTCTTAAAAATGCTCAAATTGAGAATAAAAATGCCTTTCTGAAAACAACTCCCTTTGTAAGGTACCAAAGAATCTGACTTTCATCTAAAATTTGCATTTTAATAATTGACTGCAATAAATTATATTTTACTATAAATAATGTGAAACAAATTATTTTTATAACATGGAGATATATGAATGGAGATAATATGAACTTTGGTTGAAATTTTTACTATGTGAATAAGTATCTGATTCATCAATACTATAATTACTAATAATACTCCATTTCTGGCAATGACACCAGCACTTTAAATCTGCTGTCCTGAGTGGCTTCATTAGTGCATGGTCAAGATCAGGGTCCTAAGCCACCTGTCATGTGTTTCAGGGCAGCTTTGTGGGCACCAGTCAGTTACTGTTTGCATGACTTCTGTGGGTGCTTTGCATCCTCACGGCAGAGTTGAGTGGCTGTCAGTCTACACATAATTAAACCTCAGGAATTTACTATTTGACCCTATACGATATACCAATTCCTGATGAGATTAGTGGTCATTAACAAATACCCTCTTTTTCAACTAAAGTGTTAATGGATACTTGGGATACTAATTAAAACAATAAAGCTCTCTTTGAATTGTATTTAATTCTGGCAAAGGATGCATCTTAAAAATTTCCAGCCCTATAACCCTGGCTCATTTCTATAGGACATCAGCCAATAGTAGTACCTACGGTAAACAGGATATGCCTAGGGGCTTGTTAAATCCTTCCTTAAGATCCCAGGTTTAGCTGGCTCCGTAACAAACACACAAGTTAAATAAAAGAGGGAGCACAGATACGCACAACCAAGTCATTTTTCCCCTTTACCCTGGCTCTTCGTTCGGCCTCGAGACGCTGCATTATTAGCATCGTATCCACGTCATCGTCCTCCTCCTCCTCGTCATCCTCATCTTTCTGTTTGGACTCCTGGAGTCTCTTCTGGAACTGCCACTCCAGCATGAGCTTCCGGAGGCGGTCGCTCTCCTCTGCGGTGCGGTCGGCCTTGCTCTGCAGGTCATGGATCTCCTTGCTGAGCATGTCTACGATGTGCATCTGCTGCTGCTTCTCCAGCTTTTCCCTGGCGTCCCGTTTCCATGGGTCTGGAGACAGGCTGTCACCAGAGGAGAGCTCCTCTTTGCTAATTGTGATGTACTGCAGATCTCTGCGCTCGATAGTGCGGGGCTGCTGTTGTGGCTGCAGCTCCCGAATGACCGTTTCCTGGGGCCTCTGGAGTGTGGAAGGCTTTTCAGGCTTTGCCTGCTGTGCAGCCAGGGGAGAAAAGGGGGCCGGGTTCAGAGACTGCGTGCGCATCTGCCCCAGCTTCCTCTCCTGCTCCCTGCGCTTCCTCTCCCGCTCCTCCTCCAGGCGGGCCTTCTCCTTCTCATACCACCGCTGATGCTCTTCTCTCTTCTTCCGTTCTGCAGCAGCTACCTGAGCAGACTGGGGCCCCACCTGATTGGCAGGAGGGGGTGGAAGAGGCAAATCCATGGAAATCCCATCAAAATCACTGGCATAGTGGACAGGAGGTGGAGGTGGTGGTGGAGGCAGATCTGTTCGAATAGGCTGGGAGATAGCCACTGGTGTGGGTGGCACCACTGCAGGGGTTTTCCACCGGCCAGGGCCACTTTTGGTCAGTGTAGAAGCAGGGGTAACTGATTTGGAGGAATGGTTCAGGTGCTCTTGGCTAGAGGTGCTAGATTCTACTGAGGAGCTCTGATTTATCCACATATCACTATCAGACTTTCGATCCATGATTGGCTCCATTCGATGCCGCTCAAGTTGGTAAGCTTTGTCTTCCCGTAGCTCTTCTTGGGAACGGGTAACACGCTAGGTAAGAAAAAAAAAGAACTGTTAAAACTTTAATGCTTCACAGAAAAAAAAAAAAAAAATTACGACATTTCATCACAGAATGAACAGACCACAACAATTGTTGCATGTGTACAGACTAGAATTTCAGATTGCCCTACAGAAAATGTGACTGCAATGAATCCATCTGTGAAAAAAGGAGGAAAAGCCATGCTTTCTCTCTGCAGCACTGGAAAAACTGGATCATAGGGATGCTCGGGCACATCAAAGCTACCTCCTCACCCAGTTCTAAGGGCAGACATGAGAGCACTCGCACTACCTCCAGGCGGGACCAGCCACACAGCTGACTGCTAAGAATGAATGTGTACAGTCTAAGTACATGAGGGCAACCACAGGACTTCTCTATAATGAAATTCTATTTATTACTAAGAGTAATTATCCAATCTTAGCCATTTTATCCATCCATAGATCCATTCCTGAGTGAGTCCTAAAGCTTAGAATTGTCTTTACAAGCTCTTTGGTAGAGTCATACATCCAAGGACATCCTATTCATTCAAGATGCATCTGCTCCAATCTTGAAGATGTAAAAAAGACTGGTATAAAGTCAATGGATAGGACATGTGAATGAGATAGAGTGGAATAAATAAGCTTTTTCAGACAACACAAAAGATGCAATATCACTTTAGAAAACAATAGCCTAACAGAAAAATGGAATATTTACTCTCCAAATTTAGTGACAACTTTACTTGTAAACAGAACAACTTCTGCAGTGCTAGGTACATAATCTACAAATTACAGAAGTATTAAATAACCTAAAATCTGTAGAGTAAAGCCTTTGCACCTGCCCTGTCCCACATGTAAGATTTTTAACTCTGTACCTATGGCATCTTCCCTACTTTCTATAGTAGTAGATATGGTATCCTGACAGGATGAAGAAGGTAGCAGCACTCCCAAAGCCAGGATGCTACAGAGCATCAGGCCTACCTAGCAAAGGCAGGATGGACCAGTTAAAGGACCATTGTCTGTCTTTAGAACATACTCCTCAACATGCTCCAAAGGAGTATAACCTTCTCTCTTCTCTGCCTATCTGTTCTCTCCCTTTGAGGCATAGCTCTAATCCTATCTCAAATGTAAAGTATTTTTGGCATCCTAATGGAAGAATAATAATCTTCCAAATTCCCACAACATTTACTATCCAGGGCACAATACATCATTTATTCTAGACCAGTGGTGGTAAATCTATAGCATGTACGCCACAACAGGTTGATTGTATCACTGACAGCTCTAAAGGATTGCCATTACTGTAGACCATATCATCTAGTTCTTCCCTTTAGTCATGTATGATATTGTTCCCAGTTCAAGTACTTAGCCTTATATTGCCCTCACCCTTCCAACAGGCTCCACTTGCCCTCAGATCCTCAGTCCTGCCACCTTGTTCACCTAACTGGGGTCTCACTCAACTATATGTCTCCATGCCCTTTCCCTCTGCTCTAAATACGCATCCACATAGGTGGCTGTGATGGAACTGAGACCAGTCAGGTTGTACTCAAACCAGGACCTTGAAAGTTCACACCTGACAGGACCCACCTCTATGAGAGCACTGACTACCTCATATATGTCTGTCCCACTTCCCCAGGCCCACTTGCAGAGACAGGCAAAACACTTGCTTTATTTCTCAATCCTGAAACACTTGCTATATTTCTCAATCCTGGAGGCAGTGAGACTTGCTTTCAGAGTTGTAATGAGACATTATCCCACTATCATTTCATTAATCAATATTAAATACAGTATCCCCATCCATCCTGCATTCTGTTCTACTCCCTTCTTTCAGAGTCAAGCAGTAAAAAAAAAAGGACAACCTCCCTCTTTCACAGAAAATATCAATTATAAATAAAATCTTTCAAACTTCATCATGCCAAATTGGTCTATTCTATTGTTTTGAAGACTGAAAGAAATTTGTGGAACCCTTTATGTCTAACCTGAATTGCAATACTGGAATGATTACTATCTGTGTGCATATGTGGATTATCCTCATAATTTGGCCACTGGTTCTGGGGAGGAGCCATCCGATCCTGAGATTTGGAAGCTGGGAAGGTAAAATACTCTCTGGTATATGTCTGAGTGGGGATGGGGTAGGCTTCAGGTCTGGGTGGAGGGGTCTGCTCCTGTAAAATGTGAAGAACAAAGAAAAGTTGTTTACAAATATAATTTCTGATATGTTTTAAAATCTAAACATGAGCATATGCTAAATACTGTGTTAAAACTAAGTGCTTAGCTCTACACAGTGAATACACTTTATTCTGTCCAAATTTTTATTTTTAAAAAAATTTTTAAATTTTTATTTTTATTAACTTTTTAATTTAAAACTATTTTACCTAGTGAGTATATTTAAAAAATCACAATAGCAAATGCTGTAAATATAGAAATTATCAATGACAACTTGTTGAGTAAGCATCATATTAGACAACTGAGACATTCCAAGGGAAATATAAGTATAAAAGTGTGGCAAAAGCCCCTCAGCTTATTGCTCAGACCTCAGTGCAGAGGTTCCCAGTGGAGACAGACGTTATCTTCGCCGTTGTTCCAGAAGTGTATGTGCTTTTCCCTCCGGGGCTAGGAGGTTGATCTGTTGTAAACAAGGGGATAAAAGTTTAGTATTAAATAAACAAGCTAGTGTAACATCAAATGTCTTTAAAGGCAGTGATCATGTCTCATGTATCATCTGATGGTGTCAAAGGTACCTAGCACTGAAACAAAACAAGATGTGCAAGAAGTCAGCCCCATCATGCCCTCACTCTCTTGTATCAGAACCCACAGCCAGAGCTTGCTCAAGACCAGGGACTGGCCAATGCTTTTTAGAAAAAAAATCCTTTGGGCTTTGAAAGTCTTATGTCTCTGTTGCTCATCCCGCCATTATTTCTCTTTTTACTGACCCTTTGTTATTATTTTTAAAATTTTATGTATTTGGTACAGGGTCTCACTACACAGCTTGGACTCGTAGTGATCCTCCTGTTTTCAGTCTTCCCAGTGCTGGGATTACACTCATGCCCCTGCATGCCTGATCTCAGTGGGCTGGCTCAGTGTGCCTGGGGGTGGAGTCAGCATGGCATGCAATGCCAGGGATTGAACCCTGGGCCCTGTGCTTGCCTAACCAGGTGCTTAGTCTACTGAACTGTCTCACCAGCCTACTGACTCCTTTAAATAAGTGTAAAAGCCATTTTAACTTCTGTTAGTGACCTACCAATTTCTGTCAGGTTCATTAATAATGTATTTTTCTCTACAGCAGCAACTGAATCAAAGGTTTTTTAATTTTGATTTTCTGTTAGAAGAATGTTAATTACAATACCCCTCATGAAAACTCTACTCTAGTTAGCCACTATTTGAAGACAGTAACTTTCCTTTAGTAACTAACAAAGCATAATGTGACTCTTCACCTCCTCACTGTGGCCACACAGCACTTAGAGAAACAGCTTCATCTTACTTGCCACATTGGGGCTGGAACGGTGGTCAGCCCGGTTCTTCATCAGTCTGTCATCTCCGGGCAATTTCTTTGGTTCACTATACTCTGCCCAAGGCAGCTGAGGACTCTCTGGTGAGCCATTTTGAGCTGAATTATTATATAGTTCAAAACCTTCACTCTTTGGTCGGGGTTTACCTGAGCCACGACGATCTGAAACTGAAAACAAAGCATATTCAACAGCTCTTTTCACTGGTCTAAAAATTTTATTTAAGCACCTTGATTAAGTTTAAGTGAAAAATGAAGATAAAAATTTTAATTTCATAAAGCATTTCTTAGCATATAAAATAAATTTTCATGTAAGGAAGAATTTTGCTACAGACTTTTTAAAAAGCTTTCAATCTTGAGAATACAGAGAACATTGGTCTGGTTATCTACAAGAAAAATACAGTTTCAAAGCTTATTTTTTTGTTGTTAACTAAATTTTATCTATTTTAATAATAAAGTAATGATGCTTAAAGTCACTTCTAAAAATGCTATCTAAAAAGATAATATATTTTCATTTCTTTCTTTTTTGTATTTTAGGGAACGCTCTACAGGGTGTTCAGGGTCTCACTACTAGATCAGACTTGTAGTGATCCGCCTGTTTATAGCCTCCCAAGAGCTGGGATTACAGGTGCGTGCCACCACACCCAGTCTCAAGTGCCATCTCAGTGCACCCCAGGGACAGGGCTGGCACGGCAGGCCCAGGGATCGAACCCTCAGCCCCTGTGCCTGTTTGCAGGCACTTTAATCTGCTGTGCTATCTGGTCAGTGCTCTCAATGCTTAATATACATTACCATTTTCATTATTCAGGATTTTCATTATCATAGCCATTATCAGATGTGACTGTCAGCTTCTGACTACTTTCAGTCTTCTCACTGACTCTGATTTCTTAATGTATTTTGGGAGTGTGTGTGTATGTGTGTGTGTGTGTGTGTGCATGCATGCGCATGCCCGTGTGTGTGTGCTGTCATTGGAATCCAGATGCTTATGTATCTGAGCAGAATATGCCATCACCAAGCTACATACATCACCAGCTACTAGTATATTCTTGTAACAGCTTTCCTTTTAGGTTTCTAACTTATATTCTAGTTTGCTTATGCTAACTTTTATGTTATTAAAAAGTAAAAAAAAAAAAAAAAAAACAGAAACAAAAAATCATGCAGAATCAAAGTCTCTAATACAACCAATGGTTGTGCTGAGATTCCCTTTCTGGTTGCATTAGTAAGCAGAAGGTTCAGGCTAACAGAAGTCTTTGATATTGCTGCTGCTTGTTACTATCCAGCTGTAGACTTTTCAGTTCTCAGTTGTGAAGTCCTCATAATTTTGTTGTATGGAGAAGAGGACTCTATCAACTATTTATCAAGCTACTTCATAGGCTATGTACACAATAAACGAAGTGCATCATTAAGACTGACCAAGGAGATATATGACTTAAGAATGTGAGGCACTATAAAAATAAAAGAATGAGTCATAACAGTTTTCTCCTATGATTTTTGAAATCTTTAAAGAGCTCTAAATTAATATTGACTTTGTTCTGATTCTTTTTTGATAGAGTACAAAAAACAATTCCCACAAAGAACCAGGTTAAAGAGTTAAATTATTCAATAACTGAGTTTTTAATTTAAAGTAAATATTCCCAAATAGTCCTGCCTTCTTTCAGCACATTTACTGTATCTACTCACATGCAAATACAAATCCATTCTTGAAGTAGAGATTATGTGTCTGAAAGAGTTTATATCCTGAGCACTTGTTGTGTACTAACCTATGGAACTGCATCAGCAGCCAACCAACTACATTGGTGGTGGTGGTGGTGGGGTGTTACAGGAGTCTTGAGGACAAGGAGGGGAAATCTGCTGCATCACAGTGTGGGCTCCAAGGTCAGATGGCACCGCCTACATCTTGGCTCCAATGCCTGGTATTTCTAGGCATCTTGTTTTATGTGTTCTCATTCCAATTTCTTTACTTTTTAGAACCAGTGTAATAGTAACACCAGTATCTACTCCACAGGACTTTTTAGTGATTATATAAGGTGTCAGGACTATTGAACTTGCAGCACTCTATAAGGGACTAGTTGGACTTGGCCACCCTGGCAGAAGTGAGCACATCTTGGGTCCTTACCCCTCTGCATCATGGGCGATGGCTGGTTGAGGAGGGTGGCCAAACCGTGATAGATAGCGCCTTGCTTTGCTACTTCAAGGGTGACCACAGAACTCGTTCTTGTCATGAGCTCTGCTGCCCTAGGAAGAGAATGCCACAGTATGAGAAAAATAAAACAATGTTCACTATCCTACAGCAGACTATGATCAGAACAACTGAGAATCATGGTCCCCAGCCTCATCTGCCACTCTGGGCAATGTCTGACTTTCAGACAGATCATATATTTTGTCCATTTACTTCCCCTAAAGTTAACCACAAGAGCAGGCCAACATACCCCCTGATCTTACTACTAATTACATGACATTAAAAAACTGCAAGAAATGCTAAGAGTGCATATACTCTTTTGTTGGAAAGAAACTATTCCATACTAAAATGTAACCAATGAAATACCATGTAAATTGAGTTTTACTCCTGAAAATATAAAAAATAAGAGCAGAGGTTTTGCAGCATTCTTTTTCACCTCCCCATGTCAAAACTCAAAAAACAACATCTAGACATTTTAGTACTGAGTTCTGAACAAGGCAATCATACCTTTCCTGAGAAAGTCCAACCAGACTTCGTCCATCCACACTGAGGAGCTGATCACCAGCAGCTAGTCGTCCATCCTGAGCCCACCCATGAGGTGTGCACACGTGTTAGGGTAAGAAGAAAAGGTGGTAAGTACAGACTTGTTCTTCTAATAAGCACTGCACAGTACTGCACAGTGTGGAGCAGTAGTGAGATATCTCGCACTTATTAAAAATATGCACTAAAAATTTACTTCTTTTAAAGTGATACTGGGCTGGAGAGATGGCTCAGTGGTCTAAAGCACCTACTTAGAACAAGCTTAGCAAAAGCATCAGGGACCACGGTTCAATCCCCCAGCACCACATGCCAGCCAGCCCGCCCCCTGGTGGGCTGAGCTGGCCTGCCTCTCTCTCTCTCTCTCTCTCTCTCTCTCTCTCTCTCTCTCTCTCTCTCTCTCTCAAATAAATAAATAAAAAAAAATTAAAAAAAAAAAAATAAAGTGATACTGACCACATCTGCAGCACCTCCTTTCACAACAGACTTGACGTAGATTCCTAGTTTATCCTGGCCAGCACCCTACATAAAAACAAGGCAACACACCACACTGAGAGGAGATAGTAAAAAAAGACAGCATACAGGAAAAAGAAGCTAAAACACAACCACCCCACATGTGCAGAGACAACTGTGACAAAGCTCTGGATCTCAGTTTTATATGAAAACTGAAATGATAAAAAAAAAAATTAACCAAATTAACATGCTATTTCATAAAACAAAAACAAAAACAAAAAAAGAAAAAGAAAGCAAGAAAATGCCTCTACTTTTTTTGGTAAGAATACTGAAAAATCAGCTGTTTACTTGCAACTCAGCTGATGAAAAGACGGAAACAGATTTGGAATCCTGAAGTTATTTTCAGAATAGTTGGAGTAGCCACAAGTGAAGTGAATTAGAAAGTAGCTGAATGATACAGATAAAAATGTTTAAAATCTATAATTTACAATAGTGTTTTTGTATTCTATTATTTACCTTTATACCCTAGTTCTTTTACTATTGTTTAAAACAAGGAAAGGACTTCTTGTGGTAAGTAGTAAGGTACACTTAGGTGGTAGGGGAAAATTAAGCAGAAAATATTCCAATTCACATACTTAACTTTTTTTTCTTTTTAAAAAAATTTTATTGAGAAATAAATATGAATGACAGTTTCAAAGCTGATTAATAGGACAATTTCTATAATCAATACATTGTACATTGATATTTTCTTAGTGGTTATCCATAGTACAAGAAGCAGACAGGATATCCAGTCCAAACACCATTAATACACCTTTCTTCTCATTGAATTAAGCAAAAGTAGCTGTATATCTATCCTAACTACTTGTATATATAAATACCAAATGATCTTTCCTTTGTATTTCCCCTTTTTTTTTTGTTTAGTTCTGTCAGAGGTGCATATTCTATTGGCATCTAAATACTGTAGATGTTTGAATTCAGCTAAACAATCCAACTCTGTCTAGCATCTATATTAGTGGGTTATCCTCAGAAGTTATTGACTTGAGCCTTTTACAGCTCATCATATTAATATGGCTTTACTTTATATACCTCATTTTCATACTTTTCTGCTGGATGGTTATGACCAAGATAAAGCAAGACCTATATAGCAAGAAATGTAACTTTTGTATCTGATAAAGTCAGTCAGGTACCCTCACGATTTATCCCATAGCCCTGTACCGCACTTTGTAGCGTGTCAGTGTCCTTTGTCAGTGTCAGTCATGAGGATGAGTCACGGCCATTGCTTGACCAATTTGCTCTCTGTGAAAGCCCGAGAGAATGTTTTTTCTCTCCATGTGACTCTCCCCAGGCACACTATACATCATCAATCACATTCCTCTGTGGCTCCATAATCTTCTTGATCAGAAAATTTGGAGCACAACTGAGTTACATGTTGTTACAGTACAGGTTCTCCTATGTCCTGAGTCTTCACTGACCTTGAAAGCCTAGGGACAAATTTTGGCTGACCTTGCAGCCCTTCCTTTTCTCCAATTTTGAACTGCTAACTAAGGCTGGTAACCCTCCAGAAGAGAAGCTTATTATTAACCTGCAATATACGCAATTCGGTTTACCCTATGAGTCTAAATATCAAACATCTTTGGCATATCATGGAACAGGTATTTTCCATCAAATATTGGTATGTTGAACTTTAAGTGCTTACAGAATATGAAGGAAAAATAATTTTATAAAAGTAGAATAAGCATTTACATAATTTTACAAAGAAATTTAGAAATCATATATAGAATTGTAACAGGACAGACTTGTGACATTTTTTATTCTTGTCCCTTTTTTTCTCCATTTATTATCCCCCCCCCAAAAAAAAACCCTTTACTTGAGAGACATTATGGCAATAAATGGTATGTCATGACAAGAAGTACATATTTAGAAGACCAGGATGGCAGGCACTCCAAGCATGACCCCTCTATTACACATCACCATCCTCAGTGCAGCCGCCTGGCTCACAGGCACCAGATAATAGAGCTACTCAGGGTGAGAATCTCACCAGCCAACCACTAGTCTCAAAAACCTGCTGATGTACCCCAGGATCACTGTCCCACCCATCTCATGCATACAAATGCATTGCTTTGCCCCGTCATGATTCTCAGCTTTTCTCCTTGCCCACTTGTCCAATCCTCAAGTTCTTGCTTTCCTTTTATTTGTGTTGTAACTTTCTATATGTAATTCCTCTTTTAAGTTCTTATACTAGGGAGAAAATACAATATTTACACATGAGTCTGGTTTATTTCACTTATATCTTCAAAAGGCATCCACTTAAAATGAAGGCTTCGAGTTTATCATTCTTTATAGCTGAGTAATACTCCATTAAATAAAAGTACCACATCTTTTTCAATCATTCCACATGTGACGGGCATCTTGGTTGTTTCCAAGATCTGGTTATCACAAATTGTGCTGCTATAAACATAGGTACACACATATCACTACGATATGATGCTTTCAGTTCCTCTGGGAAAATTCCCAGTAGGGGATAGCAGGTTTGAATGGAATTTCCAGTCCTAGTTTTCTAAGGAGTTTTCACACTGATTTCCATAATGGTTGCATCAGTCTACACTCCCACCAACAGTGGAGAAGGGTTCCCTTTTCCCCACAGCCTCTCCAACATTTGTTGTTGGGTGATTTCTTTATGGTAGCCATTCTTTCTGGGGTGAGATGGTATCTCAGTGTTGTTTTAATTTGCATTTCACGGATGGCTAGTGATGAGCATTTCTTCATATATTTATTTGCTTCTTTAATTTCATCCTCTGAGAAGTGTGTGTTCATCTTGGATGCCCAATTCTGGATTGCGTCTTTAAATTTAGGGGTCCTAATGTTCTTTAGTACTTCATAAATTCTAGAGAGCAGACCTTTGTCTGAGTACTTATTAGTTAAGATTTTTTTTGAAGTTTGTGGGTTGTCTTTTCACTTTGTTGGTAATTTCTTTTGATGTGCAAAAACTTCTGAATAAGAGGTGGTCCAGTTGTTAATTCTTTCAAGTATTTCCTCTGCGATTTGATTTTTGTTCATGAACTCTTTGCCTACCCTTATGTCTTCAAGAGATCCTCCTACTTTCTCTTCTAGGAGATTTTGTGTTTCTGTTTTACAATGTTCAGTTCTTTAATCCATTCTGACTTTAGTTTAGTACATGGTGACAGACCTGGGTCAAGTTTTAGTTTTCGGAATGTAGAGAGCCAAATTTTCCAGCACCACTTGTCATATACTTAATTCTTAAGCAAATATTAAAGCAATAAAACCAATCTACACAGAATTGTTCTATCATGAAAGAATGTAAGACCTAAATACCACATAATTGCAGAACATCAATATTCTACTTAGTCATCATAACTATAACAAAAAAATCCCTCAATATTGGATAATTTATTGTAACTATCACAAAAAGCAGTCACAGGTCCTTCTCTCTCTCCATTTCCTTCTTCCTCTTTCTTTTTCTCACCCAACAGATATAGCCCTTTGATCTTGGCCTCCCCAGACTCCAGAACTGTAAGCCAAGTAAACTTCTACTAGTATAAATTTTTTTAAAAAGCAGTGATACTCATGAAATCTTACTTAGGTATTACAGACAATATCCCACAATTGAGTTTACATATCTTTAGGACACAACAAAGAAAAGTTCAGTCGTTTCAATAAGTTATGAAGTACTGAGTCAGACAAGAAAAAAAATTAAGTATTGTAGAAAAAAAGAGACATGATTTCAATAACTAACTTAGTTAAAATAATTATTTATATTATCTTAGAACTATGTAATTTTCACTTGAAAATTATTCACGCTTCCTCCCAGTAGTTAGCAACTTCAATTCACAGATTTCAGGGCTAATGTCTAATTCCATTTTTTCTGTTTGGTGGAGGTGGGGTGGGGATGTCAGGCATGCAGCATGCCAGTTTTGTGAACATAAAACCATCTTGTTCATGTCTTATCTTTAAGACAAAAATGTTAAATTTTTTAATTTAACAAAACAACTCAGTTTTGAGAAGTAGTATGCTTCATGCTTGACATGGCTACATTATCTAGGAAATAAATTTATATAGTTCTACACAAGGTAAAGTCAAGTATTTTCTCTTTCTCCAGCCTGGATCCTCTAGCCAGTGTTTTTCAGTCTGGTCATTGTGCACTATTCCTGTGTACACCTACAGTCCCTTCTGCACCCACAACCACCACCAGCACCAAGCTACACAACCTCCATGTCACTCAACACTACTAACATTACATGACAGCCATAAAACTATCACCTGGATAATTGGCAAACTTCGTACTTTTCAAATAAATAAATAAAACATGCATTAGGCATTCAATAAATGATAACGTGTAAAAGAGTACTAAGTATGTTTTTTATTTGAATTCACTCATGCCAATATTAGCTTTCTTGGATGAAGATCTAAAATGTACAACAGAAAACTACTTCTAAAACACAGCCACACTCATTAACCCCATGTGTCAAAATCAGAGCTGTCACACATTCTATAATTTTCCACAATCTATAAATAACTCTGTAATTCCAAATCAGTTGCTCCATGAGCCTGTAATTCATACCATACAGAAGTCCCTACCCTGTCCTAAGCCATGTTCTATGGGTGACATGACACAGCCTTGCCCTGTGGAATGGGTACCTCAGATCAGAGCTGTGCCTGCAGCCAATGGAGCACTGAAAATCCCTCAATTTCTTCTCCTGCAGTCCTACAAATCTGTGCACTTTGACTTGGTATCCTCAGCCTGGTATTTTTAAAGTTCCAAAACCAAGAGTCATTTGTTGTTCTGCTTCTCACTGACAGGAAAGTAGCACTTAATGAATGAAGGTCATAGTGGCATTGCTGGTGTAAATGGGCACTTGCCCTTGTCTTTTGGTTAAGGTGACGCTGACCTTGTAATTTAAAAAACAGAAAGTACCCTCTTAAGATAACCAATTACTATCATATCTGATAAGTAAAATGTTTATCAGTAATACTAGTACTATAACATTTTCAGTAATACTGATATAAACAAGAAAATACCAAATATATATTTTAGAATTTTTTTTCTCCCA